TTTTTTTTTTTTTTTTTTTTTTTTTGATGTTTGACAACAGTCTTTGAAGATTTTCTACTTCAGAGTAGCTACTGATGGGCTGGTTGTACTACAGAGAGAACAAGCGGGGTTCCTCAGAGTGCGACCAACTGCTCCTGCCGAAGGCAAACGCTGGTGGGGAGGATGTCACTCCATGAGGCCACAGCACTAGCTCATAAAAATCCAGAGCAGACCATGCCTAGTTGCGGTCGTCTTTTCATCCAAACATGGAGACACAACAAGCGTAGCGGGGCCGGCGATGCCGCGGCGGCGAAGCGCCCGCGCCCCGCGCCGCCCGCTAAACATTGCCTTGTGCCTTCTGTCCCCGCTCCTTGTAGAGGACCCACCGGCTTCCCAAGGAGATGACCCCGGTGGAGCCAGCTGCCTTCGCCGCCGAGCTCATTTCCCGGCTGGAGAAGCTGAAGCAGGAGCAGGAAACCATGGACTGTCTGGAGGAGAGGCTGCAGCAGATCAAGGAGGTAGGATTAGCGTTCCCAGAGCTCCGCGTGCCACCCGGCCGGTGGGAGGGGGCTGTTCCCTGCCCGCGGGGTGGCAGAGGGGATGTCCAGGTGGAGGGGACGTCCAGGTGGAGGGAACGTCCAGGTGGAGGGAACGTCCAGGTGGAGGGGATGTCCAGGTGGAGGGGACATCCCCGCGTGCGCCTCGGCGCTCCCAGCCCCTTCCACTCATTGCCTGCCATCCCTTGTCTGGCAGGACGAGGAGAAGGAGGGCTCCGAGCTCCCTGCCAGCCTGCAGAGCAGTCGGGACGTGGCCAACCCCCAGCACCCGCTGTCGCTCCTGCCCTCGGGCAGCTACGAGGAGGACCCCCAGGCCATCCTGGACGAGCACCTCTCCCGCGTGCTGAAGACCCCCGGCTGCCAGTCGCCCGGCGTGGGCCGGCACAGCCCCCGCGCCCGCTCGCCCGACCGCCTGCCCACGGGCAAGCTGCCGCCTGGCACGGCCTCGCTGGCCGCCTGCGCCCTGCTGGGCAAGGGCTTCATCACCAAGCAGACCACCAAGCACGTCCACCACCACTACATCCACCACCACACCGTGCCCAAGACGAAGGAGCAGATCGAGGCCGAGGCGGCGCAGCGGGTGCAGTGCTGCTGCCCGGCGGGCGGCGACTACTACTGCTACCCCAAGTGCAAGGGCCACCCCAAAAACACTGACCCTCCTCTCTCCCCGCTGGAGCCCTTCGGGTAAGTCACCAGCACCTCCATGGCAGCCACCCCAAACATCACCCATCGTCCTGCTGTGCTGGGGCTGGTGGGGACGGGGGCTGACCGTGGCTCGTGTCCCTTTCTGCCACCAGCAGGACGGGGACGCTGCTGAAGAGGCCGGGCCGAGGCGTGGACAGCGTGGCCCCGGCGGCCGGGGACGGGGGGCTGCCCGGCCCCGGTGGGGTGCAGCTCCCGGGGGGCGAAGCGGATCGGGCGCAGAACGTCTGGCAGTGGATGCTGGAGAGCGAGAGACAAAATAAGCACAAGGCCCATAGGTAAATACGCAGCTGTCTACAGCAGTATCGCTCCCGGTAAATATTTATATATTACATGGGCTGTCTATTTTTACAATCGCTAAAAACAAATGAGACTCTTTGCTCCTCCGGTTTAATATAAAAGCTGTTCCGCAGAACCAGAAAAACCACAAAAATGTCATGTTTTTGGCAATAAACCTCCTTTCATGTTATGACAGACTTTTGAGAGGGAGCGAGCAGAATAGGAGCTGCTATTAAAGTCATATTTTCCAGCTTTTCTAACCCGACTTCTTCCCTTCCCCAAGCACACAAAGCACAAAGAAGGCCTACAGCTCCGACTGCACCAAGGGGGCCCCCGGCCGCCACCACCCGTGGGGGACGGGCGGCCACCCCCGCGGGGCACAGCCCGCCCACCCCTTCGTGCAGGACCCCGCCATGCCCCCGCTGACGCCGCCCAACACCCTGGCCCAGCTGGAGGAAGCGTGTCGCCGCCTGGCCGAGGTCTCCAAGCCGCAGAAGCCACGGTAATGGCCACGGCGAGGACGGTCCTCGTCCGCCATGGGGACAGACGGGGCTGGCGAGCTTCTGTGCGTGGATGGGGATGTGTCCTGCCGGCCCAGGCAGAGGGATGGCCACAGGGACATGGGACAGCCGTGGAGACATGGGAGAGCCGTGGGGGACATGTGACAGCTGTGGGGACATGGGACAGCCACGGGGACGTGTGACACCCACGGGGCTGTGTGACAGCCGTGGGCATGTGTGACAGCCGTGGGCATGTGTGACAGCCATGGGGACATGGGACAGCCATGGGGACATGGGACAGTCACAGGGACGTGTGACAGCCACAGAGCCGTGTGACAGCCATGGGGCCGTGTGATACTCACGGGGACGTGTGACAGCCACAGGGATGTGTGACAGCCGTGGGGCCATGTGTCAGCCGTGGGGCTGTGTGACACTCACAGGGACCTGTGACACCCATGGGGACATGTGACAGCCTCCTGGCCAAGCCTGGAGGACGAGCCTCTGTGTTCCAACCCCACCCTGCACCGGCACAAATAGTTGCAATCCGAAGCTATTGCTTCCACTCTTTTGATGGCTGTAATTTGCCCGTTTTTCCTCTGGGACGGGCTCCAGCTACATACCAAGTGGGGAATTGGACTGGTTATCGTTCATTTGGGTATGGAAGGATAAATTAGCCCACAGCATTTTTAATTCTTCCTTTGATTGTTTACAACATGTGAGGCTTGATACAAAGAGTGAACTTAACGACCCACAGGAGACTTCAATTAAGAAGATTGTATTTCAACAATTTTTTTCTTAAAGTTGTTTTTTCTCTTTTTTTTTCTCTCCCCTCCTTCTTCCCCACTTGCTTTCCCCCTCCCCACTTCAGATGTTCAACCTCAAATCAGCAGAGGGACCGAAACCACTCCGCTGCCATTCAGGGGGGAAGCTCCCCTTTCTGCAATGCAAGTCTAACAACAGAAGAGTGAGTATTGCACGTGCAGAAAAGGAATGGGAAGTAAAAAAAAGTATATATATAATAATTATATTTTCATTAAATGGATTGTGCTTTGAAAGGAGAGGAAATTCTTATATCTGAAATTTCCCCTTTCAAACATTCTTCTTAAAGCAAGAACAAAACATTTTCAAATCTTGTCTCCGGCTCTTTTTAACTTGCATTCCTGTAAAGTGGACAAAGATTGGATTAGTCTAATTACAGGATGGTTCTTTTAACAAGAAATCTGCTACAGAGAGGTCTAAAATGGCCTAAATAATTAAAGTTTTCTTTCTTACCCTCTTCATCTTAAGCAATGAGTAATGTTTGAAGTCCAGACTGAGCCACCTGACTAGAGCCTTTCATTTTTAATTGGTTGACCTTAAGTCCACCAGCTGTCTTTGCTAGCAGCTTTTTTTCTGAAACCACTCTACAAAGACTTAGAACAAATTAGGAAGACTAAATTACTGCGGACTAACACTTTGTGACCTTTTGACATGCCAAGTGTACATTGCCTCAGAAGCAGTTGTAGATTTGGCTGCATGGTATTCACTAGAGTGTTGCCATTTTGCTGGGTAATATTGTTTTAATTAATCTTTAAGAAGCGTTGCTTGGGTGCAAATGGCAGAATCCAGTTAATTTTATCCTCACTGGGAAAAACAAGATTACCTGGGTGCTGAGGGTGGAGCATCTGGCAGGGGGTTTGCTTTGGGGCCTGGTGGTTGCAGGTGGGTTTGGGCATGAGGAGATGTTTTATGTGAGGGCAGATGAAAAGAGCTTTTTAAATCCTGGGGGTGTAGTCCTGGGGCTGGCTGGGGTGGGTGAGCCCAACCTCCATCCCTCAGCTCCCCCTCTGCCATGCCACGATCCCGAGGGGGAATGGCTTCAAGCTGAAGGAGGCTGGATTTAGGTTGGATATTAGGAAGGAATTGTTCCCTGGCAGGGTGGGCAGCCCTGGCACAGGTGCCCAGAGCAGCTGTGGCTGCCCCAGGATCCCTGGCAGTGCCCAGGGCCAGTCTGGACAGGGCTTGGAGCAGCCTGGGATGGTGGCAGGTGTCCCTGCCCATGGCAGAGGGTTGAAACTGGATGATGTATAAGGTCTGTTCCAACCCAAGCCATTCTGTGATTCCCACTGTGGAAATCCAGCTGTGCAAACACATCCCAACCAATTCCCAGGCAGTACAGGAATATCTGATTTTCAGGGTATTTCTGACAGCATTCCCCAGCTCCACTGCTGGTTGGAGTGAGGTGAAGCAGCCTGTTCTCAAATGGAAAACCAGAGAGTTTTGTGTGTGTTTTCTGTTTTGCAGTCACAAAGAGCCAAAGAAACTGCCAGTTGTTCACACCTCTCAGTCTGGTGAGCTGGTTGTCACCTATTTTTTTTGCGGAGAAGAAATTCCCTACAGGAGGATGTTAAAGGCCCAGAGCCTGACACTTGGGCACTTTAAAGAACAGCTGAGCAAAAAGGGAAATTACAGGTGAGAATGTGTGATTTGTTTGTTCTTTAGTGTGTTACAACAAGTCAGAAGAATTAGCAGATATTTTGCATGGCTGCTGCAGTGACTCTTTGGATTTTCAGAGGCTGTGGATCTGCTTAGTCTCTTCCCACTCAAAGCAGGAGCAACTGGAGATGGAGAGAGGAGCCTTGGCTCCTCCTTTCCACCCCAGCCTTTTCCAGTTGCATTAGGACCTGTGCTCCAGCCCTTCTCCAAAAAGATTCAATAGCAGGGAAATGTGGGGTGGCTTTGTGGCAAAGGCACGGATCAGTGGGATCAGGTTCCAAACTGGGGTCAGTGCTCACCTGGTTGCTGGCCTCCTGCTTTCCCTACTGTTGAACTGTTTCATTTTTGATTATTTTTTGCAATGGTGTGGCCATAAATGGTGGTCAGTGATGGGCTGGGATGGTGCTGCTGAGGTACGTGGAGATGGAGCTCACTCCCTTTTCATTAGAGTGGAAAAAGCCTCTGCCCTGCAGGGAAAGCTCCACCAGCAATACCCAGTTCCTCCTCAGAAACACCAACAATCCCTGCTGCTCTGGTTCCTAGCTCCCATCTCCCAGTTTAACCAGTTTGCTGCTTCTTCTGCTCAGTTGGCTGCCTTGGCTCAGCTGTGGCAGGAGCCTCACATTGGCTTTTTTGGCTGCCCTTTCCCAGTGGATCTGGGCACCCTTGGGATGCTCTGTTGGCCACTTCTCCAGGGCTATTTTTTTTTTTTTTTATTTGCGCTGAATTTGGTGTTGCTTCAGAGAGCTGTGTGTCCTGCCCTGTAACTAGCAGCCTCTGATTTAACCCACAAATGTTCTTTTTGGTTTGGTACAAGGAATTCCCAGCTTGCTGCCTTGTCACTGGCCTCTCTCTAGGTGTGGAAATTCCACCTGTTCAGGCCAGGGGTTGGTGACCCTGGGCACTCCCAGGCTGGGGGATGCCAAGCTGGGATCTCTCCATGGCTCTCGCACAGTGAGGCTGAAATATTCCAATTTCTCTCCAAACCATCTTTGCAGCCTACCCAGCTGCCATTGGATGGCACCAACCAGCAAGTGCATCCAACCTGGACACCCTGCAGGATAATCCCTGGGCTTTCAGCACCCTTGTGCCATTTTCCAGCCCCTAAAGCCTGTTCCACCGTGCTCCTCCTCATTTGCAGACCAGTTTCCATGGCCTCAACGCTGCTGTGCCACTGCCCAGTGGTAGTCCCAATTCCTCCCCAAAAAACCCAAATTTTTTATTGTTTGTTGGTTTTCTGTGACATTTTTCATGTGATGCCCAAGTGCAAGACTAGGCTCCTGAAACTTCTGTGGCCCAAAAGCCCCTCCAGGTGCAATTATTTGTGCCTTGTCGGACTGTAATTACTTTATAAAATGTTTTTAAGTGACTGACAAGGATGAAACAACGTTTTGCTTAGATCTCACCCCTTTACACCTGGGTAAAGACAATACAGAAATTTATAAAAGGAATTTGGGTACGAGCCCAGTATTTTATCTTGCACAGACACAAGGTGAAACTAATTACACAAATGTGTGTACCTCCAGGGAATCATTTTGATCTAAGCTTTGACTTTTGGCTGGACTTTGAGTGAAACTGCGGGTGACCTTCAGGGGAGAGGTCCGCAGTGCCCGGAGTGGCGTGTGTGTTACGGGGAGGCACTAACTAGACTGCTTTGGTCACATCTGGCATTGATTTCTTTTTAAGGCACATTTAATAAGCATGTCTTTGAAGCCCTTGCCTTTCATTTAATGCACAAAGACATGCAGAAATGCTCCACTCTCCAAATTCTTTATTGATTGGATCAGTTTGCGAGGCGGGTACCTCGGGCTCCCGCGATGCCAGAGCCCCGCCGGGGAAGCGCTGCCTTGGCTTTCCCCATCTTCCCCGCCAAACAAACAAAAAACCCCCCCCAAAAAAAAAAAAACAAAAAAAAAAAAAAAAAAAAAAAAAAAAAAAAAAAAAAAAAAACAAAAAAAAAAAAAAAAAAAAAAAAAAAAAAAATTAAAAAAGGGAATTAAGCAGTGATTTAATACTGATGGCGTTAACAAAAAACAAACATACACACACAGAAAAAAGTGGGTGGTGTCGGGTAATCTGGGGATGGCAGTGGTTCAAGACAGAGCTGCAAGGCCGGGCCCGCGTGCCTCGATTGGTGCCAGATGTCCCAAAAAATAAAATTAAAAAAAAAAAGCAAAGCTTGCCACATTAAATATGTTTCAATGGAAAGCCCATTGCTGAGCAAATGAGAGCAGAGTGACTTGTTTGAAGATGTTATGGGGGTGGTTTTTTTTTTTCTTTCTGCCTTGCCTCCTCCTTGTCTTATTTTTCCCTATTTCTCTGCGAAATAAGGTTGTAATTATGTAAAAGGTCATAGCGTGTTTTCTCAAATAAAAATTTTGTAAACACAGCCAGGGCTTGGGCTTGGGGAGGAAGTTCTTGGGAAGACAGGCTGTTATCTGGACAGGGGAGAGGGAAGGGAAAGTTCTTTGTAACTCATTCAAACTTTCCTTGGGTTTTTTGGGTTTATTTCAAGGCTGCTGTCCTGGGGAGTTGTGGCCTTGACCTGTAGCTTGGGAAGTTGGTGGGAGTTGGGCCATTGACTTCCCTGAGTGCAGGCTCTGAAGGACTCAAATAATATGTTTTTTCCTTGCTGAGCCATTAAAGATGCAACATGTGTCAGTTCTGCTTGGAAAGACTTCACAAAAATACATCCTAAACATAGCTGGACTAATTGGAGGTGGTTTTATCTCATTGACTGAAAAGAGGAATCTTTTCTCCCCCTACCAAAGTAATTTTAATGTCCCTGAAAATAAAGAGATATTTTTAAAATGCATCATAAAACAAGTCACTAAATAAAAATGTCTGATTCCAGGGCCCTGCTATGGCTCTTCCAGTTTTAGTAGTAAAAGTGAGCTTAATTTGATCTCCTTTGCCATCCTAAAGAAAATCATAATTACAAGCCCCTTTCTTGCTGACAAACATCTGCCAACCTAAGTTGTCTGGAAGCTACAAGGGAGGGGTTAGTTTTTTTATATATATATATATTTTTTTTTTTAATATAGATACATATTTTTTTCTTTATAATCCATCTGCTGGGATATTTTCCATCCCTGGCAATCAGATGGCAAAGGGAAAGCAGGAATCTCCAAGGAGGTGTTGGGCGGCAGACGGACAGACTCCCTAAATGCTACCCCTCTGAATGGAAGCCCTTCATTTGTGCATATGCAATTAAGCAGCCTTAGAAGGAAGAAAGCTCCAAACGGGATAAAAGGAACCTTTAATCAAGAAGCTGAACGGTCTAATTCAGGATAATAGAGGGGTCCTTACTGTTTGACACAGGAGGGGTGGGGGTGCTTTTTGTCTCTGCAGCGTTGGCTTCATGATCTAACGACCCGGAGCAAAAGAGCAGGAATGCAGGACACTGCTGCTTGACCTCCCCGTGTCACGGCCCTGGGGCTGGACCAGGCTCTCTCTGAGTGCTCCTGAGCCTCGGGAAGCAGAGCAGGAGTTTGTGTCCCTCAGCTTGCACCCGGGAATGGGGTTGTTCCAAGCCCGGGATGTTTGTTCCAGCGGGGACACCGCAGAGTTTCAGCTCCTGCGTTGCAGGAAGCTGGGATGGTTTGCTTTTCATCCATCCTTTTAATAACAGTTGCTAATTTTAATGTTGGGCTTCAGCTTTGAAACAAGAAAACACATGAAAGAAAGAAGGTGGGGAGAGAGGGGAACCTTAAGAAATGCTTGGCTTTGAAATCCTATTTATTTATTTTTAAATGAGATATTTGACCAGAAATCGCCACGCTTTCTAATTTTCTTTATGGCTGGGGATACCCACTGCCAGTGTGTGTAATCTGCTCACTGGAGAAGCTGTTGTCAGCCCTGAGGAGCATTCACAGCCCTGTTCCTTCCATCCCACCCCATCCCTGCAGCCCCAGGGATGCTTTCAAACCACCAGACCCGAGTGTTCCTGAAGGAGCATCCTCAGGAGGGAGAGGTTGGAAACATCGTGGTTATAAAAGAACCAGCAAAGCATCCTTTGCCTTTTAACCTTCTGATTTATTTGGCTTTTAACCCGTGTTTTAATTCTCCTTGCCACAGATACTACTTCAAAAAGGCCAGTGACGAGTTTGACTGCGGGGCGGTGTTCGAGGAGGTTTGGGAAGACGAAACCATCCTGCCCATGTACGAAGGAAGGATCCTCGGGAAGGTGGAAAGGATCGATTGATGGCATCTGC